ACTGTCTGAGACAGTAATTTAGTAGCCAAGACAGTAATATTAATTAAAATATTTTTATTCTAAGAAAAACAATTAAAAAAAAATAAAAAATAAAAAAAATTCAACGCCGGAGACCGGCGGTCAACGGTGGTTGACCGGCCGGAAAAAAAATTTAGGAAAAAAAAAAGTTTCAATAAAAAAAAAAAAAAAGTCAACGCCGGACCCCGGAATCTGGCCGGAAAAAAAACATTTCAGAAAAAAAATTATTTTCTGAAAAAAAAAGTTTTGGGGGTTAATGTGATATATTTGTTTAAATTCAGGGTCAATGTGTAATATTAAGGAAGTTAGAGTATAATGGGTGGAATTGATAAGAATTATATTATTGAGGGTATTTTAGACTAAAGACATGGGGATGAGCTTAATTGAGAGACTTTTTTTTTGTGGACCAAAATGCATTTAAGTCCCATGTGATGGCCTTTTTGCCATTTGCCCATTAAAATATTCCAAAATATTGAGAAAGAAAAAACACAACCCTATTCCTTTATTTTAATATTAAAAAAAATGTTTTTTCTGAAAATTATTTGAATATTCGTAAAAAAATGAGTATCCTGATTTTTTTCAATAAATATATTTTGAAGTATTGCCAATATAAATAAGATATTTTTTTCGAATTTATAGAATATTAAATTTGGAAATAATATATATACATGTGGTAAATGTTTAAATGAGTGTACAAATGTTAAATAGGAAATAACTTAAATACATACCAAATTAAAAATGACAACTCACCAATTGAGGAATCCACCCAACTAAACAACTTTGATGAATCACATAGACATTTGCCACATGTCATTCATATATGGAGGGCATATATCCTCTTTTTATATTATATATACATATCGTGATGTATTAATTTTGTAGCTAAAATATCACAAGAAATTAAGGTAAGTGCATTTTGCCATGATAATATATTGCTAGGGTGGAATTTGCAAATTTAAAAATGTTAGGGTGCAAAACGTCAATTACAGTTATTTTTGGGGTGCAAAAAGCAATTCACCCATAAAATGTCACCCTCGCAGCAAGTTGCAACGACTCTATTAACTATAAGTGTTAACTCTCAATCGGTTAAAACCCCATCATTAGTGCTTGCAAAGAGCAGGGGCAAAACCAGAATCAAAATGTAGGAGGAGGGGTAGGGGCTCAACTTAAATTTCACGGTTCGGGGCAGCAGCCCAAAAAAAAAAATTAGGTTCAAAAGACATTGCCAAAATAAGTTTATATTGATAATTTTTAATTAAAATAGCATATATATTATAGTTTGATCATATTTTAAGCATGATAAAAAAATCTAAATTAATTCAAATTATTCTAATAATGTATTGCACTTAGTATTTTGGGGATTCATGGCATCGTCTCATATTATCTTTTTAGAGTCATTGATAAAAAAAATTCAAAAAAAGTAAATATTCATAAATTTTATTTAAAAAAATACAAGTTGTAACCATTTTATTTATATTTTTATATTAAATATGATATATATATATATATATATATATATATAGTTTGTATAATTTATATAAGATTATGAAGAAGAAAAAAAAATTAAGGATTAAGACACATATTTAAAAAAAAATTAGGGGAGCCAAAAGTAGTATTAAAAAAAATATAGTGCCAAAAGGAGAGTATTGCTCATTTGCTGAAAAAATTAGATTTAGAGTGGACAGACGTAAGCGGAATATCACTGGTCGCTCGTTTCACCTTGAAACCAAGGGTTTAAAGATGACCCACCATGCAAGGTCAAGTCGAAGGGGGCCCAAGAATAGAGGATTCTAGAAAAATCTTCTAGAATCCTCCTATTAATATAGAGACCCTTAGAGGATCTTCCTTTGTATATATTTGGTAGGAGATTGGATGAGTTAATCATAGCATTTAGGTTAAGATGATCACCACCATCCATTGAGGAGGTGGAGTTGTACAAATAGGGGTAGGCTCATTCATTTGTAATTATCCAACAAACCAATAATCTTAAACTTGAGAGCCATGAGGTATTCTTTGGCATTCTCCAACAATTGTGTTCTTTTATAAACACTTGCACACACTCCTGTGCACTTTCGAGTAATGCTGCCCTAGCTTATTTGCGAGGGGCGGAGATCGAATTAGCGTGCAGGGCGCTAATTCGTGGCTAAGTGCCGCACGATACTTGATTGAGGTTCAAGTCCGTGATAGGTGGTATTTCAAAGGGCAGTGAAGCTGTGTTGAGAATCGCTACCAAAGGAATTATGTCTCGTCATTAAGACGACTTGGAATTGACGGAAGAGCGGGCGCATGATGCTACCAATATCACTACCAGAAAGAAATGAGACTATAGCAAGGCTTGTGATGCCGCGTGCAAAACAATCATCACAGAGATTTGTGATCGGATCGAAACTCTACAAACCACCATGGTGCGTTTTGAGGAAGCCATGGAGGGGCGTTTCAATGAGTTCAGAGAAACAGTTGAATTCGTTGGTGAGACAGATTGTCGGGTTGATGACTTACAGCGCCTAGTGGAGGAGTTGCATGATGAGCTAACCGTGTGTCGGAAAACTCTTGTTAACACGGAACATGGTACCGGTGGGATTGCTATTCCAAGGGTTAACCAATCCAATCCAATACAATGGCGTGAGGGACGCCCAGAAGGTGATGACTTCATTTCGCCAATGACGTGATGGACGCCCATAAGGTGATGACTTCATTTCGCCAATGGAGGGATATTTTTCTATAAATTTTGTTTAGGGGTGATTACAAATAAGCCCATCAATGGGTACTTATTCATAAAGAGATCCAGACAAAAATCTCCTTTACCAATAAGTCCACACATGGTCCAGATTTTTGTAAAGGACTAAAATAACCTCTCATATTTTAATATGCTCAAATTTCACCCTTAACTTAATTTAACCTCAATTTGACCCCAAATTTCACAAATTATTCAATTTTGACCCAAATTTTTTTTTTCAATTTTTTGTTTCAAAAATTTATTTTTTCCCACCGGATTCCGGCGTTGACTTTTCAATTTTTTTTTCTTTTCTTTCTTTCTGTAACTTTTTTTTCGTTTAAATAACAATATTGCTGTGATTGACAGTAATATTAACTATATTACTGTTAAACACAGTAAAATTAACTAAACTACAGTTTAACACAGTAATATTGATATATTAATCTCTAGCACAGTAGTATTAACACAACAAAACTCATTGTTATTGTGTAATAGAGTAATATTACTATGTTGACCGTTCAACAAATGTAAACATAATAAAAAGCCAAAAGAATTAATATTACTGTGAGTGACAGTAATATTACTATAACAACAGTAATATTACCGTCAACGACAATAATATTACAATAATAGACAGTAATATTAGTACGTTACTCCGTGAATAGCTCAAACAAACAAAAAAATCCAAACAAATAATAATATTGATGTGGTTGACAACAATATTACTATAACAACAGTAATATTACCGTCAACCACAGTAATATTATTGTGTTTACAGTAATATTACAATAATAGACAGTAATATTATTACGTTACTCCGTGAATAACTCAAACAAAACAAAAAACCCAAAAAATAATAATATTGATGTTGTTGACAGTAATATTATTGTGTTTACATTATTTTAATGTCAACGACAGTAATATAATTACGTTGACTTGTCAACAAATCAAACAAAATAAAAAAAATAACAAAAAATAAATAAATAATAATACTACGTTAATTTACTGTCAATGTCAGAACAATTACATAAATGTATTGTCAACGGCAGTACAATTACGTTAATTAACTGTCATTGACAGTATAATTACGTTAATTTACTGTCAGTGACAGCACAATTGCGGTCAACGTTTAGCGGCGGATGTAAAAAAAACAAACAATAAAAAAAAACTTAAAAAAACACTAAAAAAGTCAATGCCGAAGTCCGGAAGAAAAGAAAAGACAAAAGAAAAAAAAAATCAACGCCGGAGACCGGCGTTGATCGCCGGAAACCGGCAAAAAAATCCGAAAGAAAGAAAGAGAATTTTTTTTTGAAAAGTCAACGCTGGAATCCGGCGGGAAAAAAAATATTTTGAATTTTTTTTTTTGAAAAATAAAAGTTTTGGGTCAAAATTGAATAATTTGTGAAATTTGGGGTAACATTGAGATTAAATTAAGTTAAGGATGCTCCAAACAAAAGTCAAAATTGAATTTTTGTGGTCAAAATTTGATTTTTGTGGACAAAATTGATTAAATTGGAGTTACAATTCAGAATTGGGTATAAAGGGTTGGGGGGTAATATTGGCATATACATGAATGTTTCCTTTATTTATAATAAATATTAAAGGGATGGGCTTATTGATGAAATAAATATAACCCCTAAACCTAGAATAATAAAGATGCTTGGTTGGAAACTTATGCACAAAAACCCCTTTTGTTTATATTATATTGTCATTTACTTGCATACATTCATTTTGTGTTTTTATTTATTTATTTATTTAATATTCATCGTTGCAACGCATGGGGCAAAGTTCTAGTACATATTAAAGGGATAGACTTATCGGTGGAAGAAATATAACCCCTAAGGCCTCATTTGCTTATCTATATTGGATTACAATGAATTATTGGATGTTTGATTCTTTAGATTCAATCTTGTACTAAATTTGTTAAATTCTGGTATTAAATGTAAATTGTCTAAAAATCTTTTAAGTAACGAAATTAGGATATTGTTTTAAGGACAAAATTGTCTTTTCTTTTTTTAATCACCCCTAAAAAATTAATCGCATGGGAGGGAGGGCGTTACTAATTAACCAAATAATAACATTTAATTGCGGACTTTAAATGTAGCAGCAAGCGAGACTAAACACGAATCTTATCAACCAAACATCTTACTAAATCATATTATTTAGTTAATAGTGGTTAATAGTGCTTAATAGCCCTAAGCAAAGGATGCCTAAATCTAGAATAATAAGATGATTGGTAAGGGACTTATGCAGAAAAACCGCTGAATAATGGTCAAATTAAAAATACTTATCACTGTCATAAAGCCCTGCACATTTCGAAATATTACATTCACACTCCAAAGGGTATTATGGGTAGAAAATACCAACAATTTAATATAACTAAATCAAAATTCTATACAACGCCATGAAGTCTCTCTCACCATTACAACTTTTTCCCATGTTTTTCGGACATAAAATTAAAATTACAACACACAAACACCAAAAAAAACAGAAAAAGGGTTGATGCAAAACCTGTTATATACAAAAGAAGAGTAAATAGTGACTAGTATGCATCTCGTGAAGAATAATCTAACAAAGCAAATTTGACATGCAAACCAATTTTGCCAGATTCAACCACCAACTTAGCAGCAGTCACTAACCAATGTCCTGGGGAGTCATAAGGACCCCGCGAAACCTCGTTCGCATCAACATACTTAAGCAGCTTCGTAGATCTAACAGGAACTGGCGGCCCGTCTGGATATACTCCAGAGTTCAAAGTTGTTGCCGCCTGCTGCTTTGTGGCGGCATCACCCACTCCCGCCCTCTGAGTGAACGTGAATGTTGTGCTCAGATTCGTGAGGAAACTCGACTTTCTAGTAGCTTCAGGAGTAGATGCCCACTCCGTTTTTCTAATACTACAATTCGGAATGTGCGTATAAAGCAAACGGAGGTGAACAACTTTCCTTGGCCACTTCCCTTTTATCACAAGCTGTGCCCCACTCACAACGAAAACACCACCACCACCACCACCGCCGCCGCCGCCGCCCAACCAGCTAGGATCGTGCTTAACTACCGATGAACATACGTTTGAGTATTTTTTCCATCTCACTGGCTCTAAGAACTGATCGCTCGATTCATAATCATCAGATCCTCGCCACTGTGGCGGCTTTTGTGTCAGTTTCATAATATTGGGAAGACTTGATAGATGCTGCACGTGTATTGCCAACCGATTACTTTTCTTTCCTTCTAAATATAGCCTCAGACCAACCACTGGCTTTCGATCACTTATTACCTGTACATACAGTCACATATTTTTAATCAACATTAAACAGACACTCGAAAAGCAAGTTTTATGGATGAGGGTTGCCATGGTGTTTTTACATTTAAAGGGAAACGAAGGTTAGAAAATAGCATACTGAAAACCACGATAGGCTGAAAACTTCATAGCAGAGGGTCGAGAATATTCATTTTATATCTTTTATTAGACAGTATTATTTATTTTATTTTTTCTTTAGACTTGTACCTTAGCATATAGATATATAAATGTGGTTGGTTGAAATTTGAACTCTGTTATTAGATATATGTATGTGTAGATAATATAGTAATAAATAGATAGTGGTTTGACAATTGTTTTGATCACCACTCCAGTTTTTTAATCGTTGATTAACACTAACAGAAGACCTTGGCTACTAGCACATCCAGCATCTTCATAAGAATTATGTAGATAGAATCTGTGATTTACGAAATATGAATGAGGAATCATCGAAATACGAACATACTTTATCTATTGGCATGTGAAATTAAAGTGTCATGCTAAACTCTATATAATATACCAGAATTCAGAATCGAAATACGGTACACGCATGTTAACATAATTCATGTTTAGTTTAGATTGCATAAAAGAGATGGTAAATACCTGCGTAGAGCTGACATAAATCTTTGGACCCAAGAAATTAAACTGCAAAGAAGGGAAAGATGCCTTCCTCCTTTGATGCCTAAGGGGCAACTCACAGAACAAAGGAGCCCACTGAGTTGGAACTTGAAATTCCAAAAAATACGGCAAATCCTCTAAAGTGGGCTTGTCTGAAAAGAGAGGCATTTTAGTTAAACTATATACTGAAAGAAAGAGAGTAAGACATAATGATTAATGCAAAAACAAGTTTTCATAGACGTAGAAAAAGAAAAACATACATCGTAGGTACAAATTAATGGCATGACTAAGATAGCCACTCCCAGGAATTCCATTCAGTAGAGAGGTTATTGGTACAAATTTGAAAAGTACAGCTTCGGGGTTAGCAGCCATAGTCTGTAGCCACCTCGAGTGACTTTGTGCATACACCTCACCTCCTCTTTTTGACCAAATAAGTGTCAGTCCCTATACGCGGATTACCAATATTAATCAACCGTCTTAATTAGTCTTATTCAGAATGAATGGGATAACTAACTTACATCCTTGCTCGATGTTTCTGTGATGCTGGTAAACTGCATGGTATGTGCCTGTAGCATACGACTAAACACCTCGGGAACCTGCACATTTACAGATATTTTTAATATTATAGGCCGATAAACATTAAAAGAAAAAGATAATAAAAAAAAAAGGCAAATAGGCATGAAAGAAGTTCCATATGGTTGTCCATACCTTCTTGTTATCGTTTGCAGTTCTCTCTAATATAGGACTATTAGCATCAGAGAAGAGGCAATCACCAAGTTCCTCCAAGTATCCTTTGAGTTCAGCTGGTGGAATTGGAGAAGAGGGTTTCTGTTTAACACAAAGTACATCCTGCCCTCCAACTGCCATTCCAACAACTATATGCGTTCCGTAAGTATGGATAAATCTGTTTAACAAAACCAATTTAACGTTTAGTGCAAAAGAGTAACTATATACACAGGTAGTCAAGGTAACAAAAGTAATAAGTAGCTAATTAGCTAGCTAGATATGTATTTCTTAAAGCCTCAAGCACCGAGTGAAAATATTTTCTAGGATAGAGCAATCAAATCAGTCTTCTCTGCTTAACCAGAGAAGACTCAAATTTTCACTGGCTCCGCTATCCTATAAAAGGAAGAAGGAAAATTAAAAAAGTAAGTTAATTACGTTAGGTAATGAAGATGAACAAAGATGTATGAAAAGGGTTTTAATCCGATTGCTACTTTCATAAACAACTCCAACAACTTTTACCATCCAATTCCAATTCAACTTTGCTTATCTGATATTTTATTTATATTTTTATAGTGTAATTACAAAATCAACATTGAGGTAGTATGAAGAGAGACAAAGCCATCTAATTTTGTAACTTACGATACTTCTTGATGCTTGTTTAAATTCTGCAAATTTGCACCTTTCAAGTTGAGAGCTCGTCGGGTTAAAACAAATTGCACGAGGGTATTTGTAATACCTAACGGCTTCTAATTTTGAAACTTAGCCGGGTTTTTTATGTAATCAGACCAAACCTCAAAGGCAATTTCTGTAATTCATGCAATTTTATATTGGCAAAATTCACTCGTACAACTTTTATGCTGAAAGTAGAGAAAAGAACGTCAGATTAAAATGTACCTGGATAGTGCTGCTGGATCCCAACGAGATGGAACAGACTTCTTTACATGGTCATGAAGTACTAATGGTGATGCAGTAAGGTGTAAATAGTAAAGTGAGATGAAATATCCATCAAAAGCTAAATACTTAGCATCCGCAGCATCATTTAACCATGCTCCCGTCAAATCAAAAATAGCATTAAGATATCCTGATGGAACTTTTCCCTGTACTGATGATTTCTGATTCAGTAGCTCTGACATCTGCAAAAAAACTATCTTGATTAGCAACACAGATTACATGTAATTTTAAAGTCGGAGGAATGAAGTAAATATATTATTTTCTATTTTTCTTTTCTTTTTCTCTTACTATCTATCTGACTCTACACATGAATTGATATCTAAACGGTTCGATAAAAGGGGCAATGACGCTTACATAAAAGGTTCATTCCCTTTTCACAATATATGGGGAATATGTCAAAACTCAGACCAACTAAAACCACAAGTTCATTTAAGGTTCGAACAATCAGAAGATAAAAAGCAATCACATGAAATCAATGCCATTATTTAATCATGCAAAAATACTAATAAAGCATGAGCAAAACTGGCTAGTTTCCAGTATCGATAAAGACAATCAATCAGTTTTCAGTTCCATACTAATTTGCCACTGAGAAATGAGTGAATTACTTTCTGTATATATATAAGCAATAGAAAGAAGCCATGATCCTAAAACCCGAAATTTGCTATATGCGCAGCTTTGATACATACAAAGTCAAATTAAAGATATACAGCCACAGAACATATAACAGATACACTGTATATCTCATAGAATTATACTTTGCTTTCAATTTGAATGTCAAATGCCAGAAACTACATTGTTGCATCATAACTTCATGTTTCAATTCTTCTATATTGCATCATACCGTTTGTGTGCGCATAGTCAAATGTACAAACTAAGTGCATCTAAATCGGCCCTTCATGATTTAAACATGTCACTCACTCCAATAGAACAGAAGTACAACCCTCATAGCAGAAGGTACAACTGAAGCAAGAACAATTGAATTTGATCATTTTTCATTTTGGAGATCTAATATATTTTTTGAACTTCATACACCCCACAGAAGGAATAAATAACAGCATCGAGGGTGATTACACACCGCCGCTCCAAACAATTTGAAACAGCAATCGAGATACCGCATAAACAAATCCTCAAAAAAAAAAAAAGATCAAATCAGACCTGATTGAACTGGAGGACATCGGACTTGAATCGAATGTGATCACCCTTATCGACACGTATGCATTCAGGCACACCGGGAACGGTGACGCCGCCGGGAAGGATGACGTCACGCTTGCGGTGGTCATCTAAATGAATCAACCTTCCGCCGTGGCCGTGGGGGCATCTTTTAACGAACTTGAGCCTGAAATCGCTTGCGAGATCGAAGCCCTGCCCCAAAGCCTCAGTTGCCCGTACTTCAATAGGCTTCTTATCGTAATCTTCTTCTTCGAACATCGCCGCCGTTGAAGAAGAAGAATTGTGAAGAAGAAGAAGAAGAAGAAGAAGAAGAAGAATTGTGATTTTGGCGCTGAGAAATTGGGGGATTAGGTATTTGATGTGTAAGAGGAAATAATTTTGACTTTTGACCGGAAAAGTCGTCTCTGCTTCCGGCCGCCCGCCTTTCTACGACTTTTCAATTAGCTACTCCTCTTCCTCTCTCTCATTACTTAAATTAACTAATCATTCATTCCCACCTCCTAAAGAAAAGTATTTGCGTCTCCGAAAAATAGGGATAATTATATTTTTTGCCCCTCTCGTGTACCAATTATTCGCTTTTAGTCCCTAAATAAGTTGGACTAATATTATTCGTCCCTACACATGCTAATTTTCTGTTGTTTTCGTCTTTCCGTCAACTTATTGGTTAAATTGGACAGAATAAAACACATGCTTGGCACTTGACAACTCTTTTCTCACATTTTTTTATGGTTTCAGTTCTTTTATTTGTCCGTTCATTATGTTTGTCCAATTTTGTCCTTTCTATTCGTAAATTTCTTATCCCAAATCCGTAATTTCCCCAAAATTCGTTCTTCAAATCCATGTATTGCATTCCTTATTTTCATTCAATCACTTTTTTCCAAACTACAAAACCATTTTCCTGATTTTTTCAATTCTCTAATTTAAAAAATAATAATAATTGGAAAACCGTGTTGTTAGATGATGACATGAGTTCTTGATTTGAGGACAACAAAAAATGGGCTAGCGTATCGTTACGTATGCCAAAGATTTGAGGACAACAAAAATGGGTCACACTGCTTTTACTACAAAGATTCCTTTGAATCCTCCCTTGTTGGCTCCTGCTATTCTTTTTCTTCCTCACTTTGTATTGATTCAAAGTTTGTATTGAGAGATTTTTATCAGTGGTTATAATTGAAGTGGTAGATTACACTCATACCCTAGTGGTATCGCTAATTACAATTACCTCCTAAAACATTGTTAGTAACTCTAACAGGATAATGCATTGGATACGCTACTTCGATAGGATTCTAACGGACTACTAGTTTTAGGAAGTGGTGGAGACAGCATAGAGCTCGGGGGTGATTTAAGAATTATTGAGGGAGCTGAAACCAATAATCCATTATCTCATTAGAACTTCTAACAATGTTTCATGTTTTTAGGGAAGTAATTATAATTAGCGATACCACCTGGACCTTAAAGTTATTTTAACATACCTTAAGGTGTAGGTGTAATTTACCCTAATTGAAATAGTCAAATCTTAATAATTATTGTTCTTCGTAAGCTATGAGGACCTTAAAAGCTTGATGGTGTAAATTGTAAGCATTGAGTCACAATTATCACCGATGGAGTGATTTATGTGTTAAACAAAGAGCTGTGATTATGATTTTGGGAAATGTGAATTATGAATTTGTAGTGAAAAATATTTAGCTTAATTTGAGATTAACTAAAATTCAGGAAATGAGAAAAAGGGGTGAAATTTAAAAAAAAAGTCTGACACGTGTTGTTTTCTGTCTAAACTAACCAAGATAAGGACGAAAACAACAAAACAAAAAAGTGGCATGTTTAAGGACGGAGAATGTCACTCCAACATCTTTAAAGACATAAAACAAATAGGTTGCAAAGTATAAGGACGAAAAATGTAATTACCCCGAGAAAAAATAGGTCACTTAAATTTATGGGGCAATTTGCTAAACATCCATAAACGCTAATTGTCTTTAAAATTAGATGACATATGAACTTTTGTAATTTATTTAAAATCATTTGTTCTTCACACCCGTCTTCATCGCGTTACCAGAACTCTTATCCGTCAAATTCCGTCCAACCCCACTAAATTCCGTCAAATTTGTTAGATCCCCGCTTTCCACTGCCATCATCGAAGCTTCGCCACACAACCACACACATGCAGATACACATAATTACACACAAACGCAACCACACACATACAATTTTTGTTACACTCATTCATCTCCACTGTAACCTAATAATCATGGAAACTGAAACGGAAAAATATGAAAAATTGTTTGGCGTGGGTGATGGTGATGGCAATGTTGGTGGTGATGTACGCACCATATCAAGAATTTTTATTCAACTTATTCAACTAAACTGTGTAAATAAGAACATACCTGCCCAAGTTCTTAGTTCATGTCGTAATTCGAGAATATCGGAGATCTTTACGTTCATATGGAGATTTTCGGGGGGATCGTTGCTCGATAACACGTATGTGTGACACCCATTTTCTAGTTATACCTAATTAATATCTTAGAATGTGATAGTGGAAGACTTTGAAATTTATTAACCGAGAGTAGAAAATTATGACAAAAAAATTCTTTTAGATTCAAGAGTAAAAGTGTCCACATATTACCAAACAACATTCACATAATCAATGTCACAAACTATGCATGCATGACTAGAGATTAAGTCCCATTTTAGCAAAGTGAGGAAATTTTGGACAGTTTTGATCAATCAACCAAAAAAATTAATGACTCTTTAACCGCTCGTGAAAAATACTTAAAATATTTACCACATGCTCTAATGAGGGCCTAGATCACCCTGTTAAAACAATTTTAAAATACCTTGAGCCATTTGAAAGGAATAATTAAAACGGTGCAACTATACACTTTGAAAATCTAAAATAGGGGAGAGACCTTTGAAAATTCTTTATCAATTCCGTACTGTTTAAAATATCCTCAAATTCTATACCAAAGCACATTAATAAGTTAGGATTCCATTCCAAGTTGAATAAATTCGTTTGAGTGAGAAACACTTCATATTTTATTGTAAATACTACAATGAATATGTTTCAGAGCAGTGTTGGGAAACAATTCGTAATTAATTCATGGCTTATCCAAATAATGCAAAAGACCTATCAGAATGACCGTATCATAGAGGCCTATGATACAGTACAATTTCATGCAATAATGTATACACGAGATAACTAACATGGACTATCAAATTACTAGGCAGAACACCACACATAAGTTATAAAAAAGAAAAAAATAAACAAAACAAAGAGAGAGAGAGGGAATGGCAAACAAAAAAAGGAAATTAAAGAATATTGTTTTTAAAAAAAAGAGGGAAATTCAAAATATAATTAAAAAAGAAAAAAAATAAACAAAACAAAGAGAGAGAGGGAATGGCAAACAAAAAAAGGAAATTAAAGAATATTTTTTTTTAAAAAAAGAGGGAAATTAAAAATATAATTAAAAAAAGAAAAAAAATAAACAAAACAAATGGAGAGAGGGAATGGCAAACAAAAAGGTAAATTAAATAATAAAATTTAACAAAAAAAGAAGGGAAATTAAAAATAAAATTAAAAAAAGAAAAAAATAAACAAAACAAAGAGAGAGGGAATGGCAAACAAAAAAGGGAAATTAAAGAATAATTTTTTTTTTTTAAAAAGAGGGAAATTAAAAATAAAATTAAAAAAAGAAAAAAAATAAACAAAACAAAGAGAGAGAGGGAATGGCAAACAGAAAAGGGATAAAAGAGGGAATAATAGCAGAGCTTTCAGATCAGTCAAGGATTCGAACAAACGACATACTGAATCCAATAGGTACCACCAAGCCACCTATGTTAAAGCCAATTCTTGTGAACATTTTGTAGCTCAATGATTATATAAAGAATTAACAAATTGGAGGCCCTAAAAGTTTTCGATTTTTCGGAGGCCCAAGGCGACGGTCTTGCTCGCCTTGGGCTTGGGCCGGCCCTGCACATAACTAGCCGACGGGCATTTTATAAGGTTTTTAGGAAAATTTGCCCTAAGGTTACATAAGATTTTTTTTTGAGGAAATACCATAACACATGCCAAAAGAGGTAATTTACTCCTAAGTAACATTAAATATTATACATCAATAGTAAGTTCCTCCAATAGGCGGAAGGGAACGATAATAAACACCTAAAACGGTGTCGAACATCCTTAATAGCAAAGTGTACAAATAAAACCACATTAATAAATTAAGAGCACCCAAAATCCATACCTCCATATGAACTCTTCTCTCAATCCACGAACTCGACTTCAACCACGAACCTCGGGCTCGAAATCGGGTAATCTTACAAGTAATTCAACACCTATATGAGTCTTTGAGACTCAATGAGAAATTCCATAAAATATCAAATAAACTAAGACAAGCTAAGGAATCATATGATCATACATATATGCATACATATACAAGTATACATATACCTTAATCACCATTTCTTTAAGAAAATTTACCGATTTACCTTTACTTTCTCGGTTTACCTCTTAGACCTTCTCTTTTCATCATTTCATAAGGAATAAGAGTAGGTCTACCTAAAAGAACCATTCATCCATACATTCATTCAAGTGCTCATACAATGTATGAGAAAATCATTTTCTTTAGTCGGATATCCTTTGAAAAACCAAGTAAGACTTTAGATAGTAAGCCTTCATTTATTTGGAACCCATTTCATAAGTGGAATCAAACCACAAACTCTTCATCTCATTTTTGGGGTATCGGCCCCTCATACCTCGTGCTTATTCGATCTAAGTTTTACAAGATTTTCCAACTTTAAAAACGTGCAAGTGAGGTCAGTACATATTTTAAATTCATATATTCAAAGTTAGCTTACACATAAGCATATTAGTACACATATTTGCACATATTTCACAGAGTCACATAGTTTCGTCACAAAATCACAAAATCACAAAATCAAGTAAGAGACATAACAACTCAAGTAGAGCATAGATCACATATTTTATACAGATAGCAGAAGTAGCTCAAAGCATTCAATTATACTACCTCCAAGTTTCATTACTTAAAGTTCAAGCCCTCTTTCTCAAGAGACTTGAAGTTTTCGTTCAAGTAACACTAAATTTCCATTTATTTCATTTTCTTTCTAGATCTTCATATGCATGATAGCAAGATAAGATTAAGATATTTTAATAATCATTCTTGTAACTACTGCATGCATTAACAATTTAAACATTTTCCTCAAAGTCTTTCCAAAAAAATATTCTAACCATCAACAATTCAATCACACAAAATTCCATTTTTATTAA